GGGGCCCCCTCGCAGGAACAGGGGGCCCCCGGGGGGCCCCCCCTGAGCGTACACCCCATCGTTGTGGGGCGGTACAGCGCGCTGGGGTACCACTGGCTGCAAGGAGACAGAAGTTGGTCTTTGTTGGACTTGGAAGAAGTTTTTGTTTCTGGACTTTTTGCAAAAACAATAACTCTGGAGTTGTACAAAGACGAGGTGCGGCTGTTCGTGTGGACAGCAGCAGATGTGTCTCCTTTCAAGTTGGGGACAGTTCGGAGACAGGGCTGGGCAGCAGCAGCAGCAGACGTCACGTTCGAGCGGTGTCTTCTTTACGTGGCGGAGACCGGAGACACTTCTGCTGCTGCTGCTGCTGCTGCTGCTGTCTCCAAGTTCGAGTTCGGGGACGTGGGCGCGCTGGCTGCTGCTGCGCCGACTGTCTCCTTTTCCGGCCCGCTGCAGAGCCCCTGCTGCCTGGTGCTGCTGTACGGAGACGCGCAGCAGCAGCAGCAGCCCTCGCTGCTGCTGCTGGACCGGACCACTGGTCACCTCCTCTGGCTCGACCAAGACCTCCAGCTCCTCAACTCTGCAAACCACTGGAAGGGACTCTCCCGTCCCCTGCAGTCTCCCCAGAGTTTGGCTTGCGTGCTGCGCGAGCGGCGCGCCGCCGCCGCTGCTGCTGCTGCTGCTGCTGCTGCTGCTGCTGCTGCTGCTGCTGCTGCTGCTGCTGCTGCTGACCCCGCCGACGCAGCAGCAGCGGGAGAGGCGGAGTCGGGGGAGCAGCCGTGGGGACTCTACGACTGCTACATTGCAGACCGAGACGCAGACAGAGTTGTGCACCTCGAAGTCGATGCTGCAAAAGGAGACACCAAGTTTGTCTGCGAAATTGTCTCCGCGGGCCCCGAGCAAACGCGCCTGCACAAGCCCCGCGACCTCGCGGCCTTCAGCTACAACGGAGAAACCCTCCTTTTCCTCGTCCAGGTGCGCAAACCCTAAATCAGGGTTTGCAAGCCCCCACCCGCTTCCCGCGTCCCCCGTCTCTGCCCGCTGTCCCCTGTCTCCTGTCTGCCGTCCGCTGTCTCCCGTCGGCCGTCGGCCGTCTGCGCGCCGGCCTGCGCGGGCCAGGGTTTAGGGTTTAGGGTTTAGGGTTTAGGGTTTGGGGCTTGCGCGCAGGAGGGCCACCTGGGGGTGGACCTGCTGGTGCCGGGGTCCGTCTCCTCGTCGTGGTTTTCGCTGTCTCCTTCGGGAGTCTCCGGGGAGACCCTGGGGCCCGTGCTGCTGCCGTTCGTGGTGGAGACGGGGGAGACAGTCTCCTCGCTGGCGTCGGCGCGGCTGGCGGCCTTCCGCTGCAGTTTGGAGACAGTTGCTGCGCAAAGTGTCTCCTTGCAGCAAACCGCCGTGGCCCCCGCCTTCACCTACGCCCAGAGCGACTTCTACAGCGTCGGAGACAGCCGCAGGCTGGAGCCGGTGGTGGCGGGAGGGACTGTCTCCTTATCGGCCTTCAGGTCTTTCGTTTTGAACCCCAACTCCGCGAACTTTTCCTTCATCAACTCCATTGCTGCTGTGGACCCCCACAAGGGGACTCTCGTGCTGCAGCTGTCTCCTTCCGAGGAGCCCGAGCTCGAGGTCCAGGTCCAGGGACAGGGCCTCGTCAACTTCGTCTCCGCAACTGTCTCCTTCCGCCTTGCATGCAAAAACGGCCACTTCTTGAGCCGCGGAATGTGTCCCAAGTGTCCCCTCGGCACTTTCAACTCCGTCAGTCTCGTCAAGCACGCTTTCGAAGCCAACGTCCGCGCATGCACGCAGTGTACGTACACCACGAGCACTGTCTCCGAGGGCTCCTCCAGCCCCGACCAGTGTCTCTGCAAAAAGGGACACTACCCCAACCCCGACCCAACCGCCGACGTCCCCTGTCTCCCCTGTCCCCCAGGTCTGCTCCTCCGCCTCCTCCTGCTGTCCTGCTGCTGCTGTCCTGCTGCTGCGCTGCTGCTGCGCTGCTGCTGCGCTGCTGCTGCTGCTGCTGCTGCGGGTCGTGCGGGCGCGGGGCGGGGTGCGGACGTGCTCCTGGGCCTTCTCCTGCTGCTCCTGCTGCCCCTGCTGCTCCTGCTGCTCCTGCTTTATCTGCTGCTGCTGCTGCTGCTGCTGCTGCTGTTTGCTGCAGGGACGTGGAAAGACACGGTGGCGAATTCGGGGTGTATGGGCAACGGGTGTCCGGCCAACTCCAGCAGCAACGTCTCCGGAGCTGTCTCCGCAGCAGACAGGAGATGTGCTTGGTCAGTTGTTGTCTCCTTTCGTCCCTTTCTGTCTCCTTGTGTCTCCTCCTGTCTCCTCTTTGCTTCCTTTGTCCTTTTGTCTCTTTTTGGTCTCTTTTTCGTCTCTTTTTGCTCTTTTTTTGACTTTTTCTGTCTCCTCTATCTTTTTGACTCTTTTGTCTCCTTTCTTTCCTTTTGTCTGCCTCCATCTTCCCCAGTTTTCCAGTGGTGGGGGTGTCTCCTTTAGTGTTTCCTTCAGTGTCTCCTTTAGTGTCTCCTTTAGTGTCTCCTTTAGTGTCTCCTTTAGTGTTTCCTTCGGTGTCTCCTTTAGTGTCTCCTTTAGTGTCTCCTTTAGTGTCTCCTTTAGTGTCTCCTTTAGTGTCTCCTTTAGTGTTTCCTTTCATTCCCTTTTGTCTCCTTTAATCTCTTTTGGTCTCCTTAATTCTCTCTACCTCCCGCAGCCCCGAAAGTGTCTCCTTTTTATCTCCTTCAGTGCCCCCTTTTTATCTCCTTTAACTACCTTTTTTTGTCTCCTTTAGTGTCTCCTTTAGTGTCTCCTTTTATCTCATTTTGTCTC